TGTGTGTGTGTCTCTGTCTCTCGGTGTGTTTGTGTGCGTGGATCCTGCATACAAATTTTAGAAAGAACCTCAGCTTTCCCACGTCTGGCTTTTTCAGAAAGAACACCTTATCTACGTCTCTACTTCCCCTCATCATCAGCAGAAAACCCACTTGCCTAGCGCGATCATCGGACAGGCCGGACAGATCTACTTTTGATCAACGCATCCAGGGGAAAATGCGGAAAATGTGGAAAATGCGGAAAATGGGAAAATCAAGAGGGGGGTTGGGGGGAGGGGCGAGGTTCGGCAGGAAAGGAGGAATGGATTAAGCGCCTGGATCTGGATGCGTTTTATGCAGAGATGCAGAAAAGCAGATCAATCGCCATTTTTTGCACCTCTCCGCCAACGTGTCCAGATTCAGGCGGCCGTCTCCTTTTTTCTTTTTTCTTTTTTCTTTTTTCTCTTTTCAAAGGAGAAGGCCGCAGCAGATGGCCATTCGCATAAGAAGGTAGACGAAGGACGGCTTACCGCATTGCGCTCCACCTCCTCATCCTCTCATTCGTGATGTCGACGCGGGCAGCCAGCCAGCCAGCCAGAGAGCTCCACCTTCACCGCAGGAACACTTCTTTCTGCAGGAAGAATAGTGAAAACAGTGGCCAACTGCCTCTCGTACACGCTTCGAAAGCTCATCAATACATAGCCGCGCGTACTCGTCTCAGCTCACGCGCACATTCCCCGACGCACTTCTATCGGTTGCACTCCGATCATCTTCAGGGGGCTTTCCACACTTCCCTCGCCTTGCGCCCCACCGATCATACCTCCCTGCCTTCTAAGTACTGAGGGCCACCGATCAGGCCTTGCCCTCCTATATACTGCACGCCAGGTAGGACGCTTCGTCAGCACGACACTCCCTCCCCTGACGGGCACTTCCACGAGCGACTGCGGCTGCAACTGGACTGCTCCAATGCCGCCGACCCAGCACAACCACTTCCTCCCCCTTCCTCCCACTTCCTCCCCCTACTCCTCCTCCTCCTCCTCTTCCTCTTCCTCCTCCTCCTCCTCCTATGCCTCCAAGAGCGCCGCTTATGGCGTTGTGTGCAGAAGATACGCCGCGAACGGCTGGAGAGATTAGCATCGACGACGAGGAAGTCATGACCGGGATCGCGATCGGAGCCGACTTGCATGTCAACGGCAACCATAGCACCCCGAGACCGAATCGTAGCTCGTCAGGAATCATCAAACCTCCATAGCCAACAGCTCTCCACAGCATCGTCGTTACGTAAACCAGAGCCCCTTGAACGCGCAAGAGGCTAGAGACTCGAGCGCAATCCCCCCCTCGAGCTCCTTCTCTTCCTCCTCCTCCTCCTCCTCCTCCTCCTCCTCCTCCTCC